AGGCGGGAGCTGCAGCTCCTGCACTTCTGGCTCTTCCTGGGCATCTCCCTGGCTGCCCTCCTGGCCAACGGCCTCATCCTCAGCGCCGTAGCCTGCGACCACCACCTGCACACCCCCATGGGCTTCTTCCTGCTCAACCTCTCCCTCACAGACCTGGGCTGCATCTGCACCACTGTCCCCAAAGCCATGCACAATTCCCTCTGGAACACCACAACCATCTCCTACATGGGATGTGTTGCACAGGTCTTTTTCTTTGTCTTCTTCATGTCAACAGAGTATTTCCTCCTCACCATCATGTGCTACGACCGCTACGTTGCCATCTGCAAACCCCTGCACTACGGGACCCTCCTGGGCAGCAGAGCTTGTGCCCACATGGCAGCAGCTGCCTGGGCCACTGGGTTTCTCAATGCTCTGCTGCACACAGCCAATACATTTTCCCTGCCCCTGGGCCAGGGCAATGCCCTGGGCCAGTTCTTCTGTGAAATCCCACACATCCTCAAGCTCTCCTGCTCACACTCAGGCTACCTCAGGGAAATTGGGCTCATTGTGCTTAGTGCCTGTTTAATATTTGGTTGTTTTGTTTTCATTGTTTTCTCCTATGCACAGATCTTCAGGGTTGTGCTGAGGATCCCCTCTGAGCAGGGACAGCACAAAGCCTTTTCCACGTGCCTCCCTCACCTGGCCGTGGTCTCAGTCTTTGTCAGCACTGGTATTTTTTCTCAGCTGAAACCTCCCTCCATCTTCTCCCCATCCATGGATCTGGTGGTGTCAGTTCTGTACTCAGTAGTTCCTCCAACACTGAACCCCCTCATCTACAGCCTGAGGAACCAGGAGCTCAAGGATACCATAAGGAAAATGATGACTGGATGCTTTTCGGGAGCAATTAAGTGCCTCTTTTCTTCTGCAGAACACTCATTGTGTAACCCTTTACTGGCCCAGCCTGCCTTCTAAAGCTTTTGAGAGTGGTGGTGGGGGGCGTTTCCTACATTTTTTTTTTACTCTTTTGGTCTTGTTAACACAGAAATTTATTCTTCATCTCTTACCTAATTCGCTCTCTACCTCTTTGTTTTGACCCACAATTGTGTAAATGAGGAATCATTCTCAGTGTGCATTTGAACAAAATAAAAGTTTCTGCAGCAACTTCTTTGTCAAACATTCTGCCTTTGTTATTCTGTACATGAGGAATCACAATCTCTGAGTATAATAAAGGACTTGAATTCTTTTTTTGTGATTCTCCCTCCAAGAACTTCCCTGAAGCTGGAGGGCAGTGCCTGTGTGCAGAG